CCCCCGCATCATGGTGGCTCCTTCAGTAGAAAGTGCTCGGCGCGGGGAGAACCACACGAACTTCTGCTCTTCCCGAACCTGCGCGGCAACAATACCCGGCACGGAGGCCGCCACGCTGGCCAAGAGGGTTTCTGGTTTCCTTTGGCTTGCACTGAGCGGCGTCAGTCTGTCCGTCCGCTCCGAGGCCCCGCCTGCCCGCTTCCTGGAGCTCCACGCAGGGCGCTCCTCGGTCGTGGGTTCGCCTGCGGTTTGAGCGCATAGTGCTTTGGCCCTGGTGCTTTTCTTGACTGTTACCCGCGCTAGCCCTGTAACGTTTTTCTGTTAAATGCCGCTGGTGCCTCAGATGTTTTTCTTCTTATAGCAGATTGTGGCTCTTCTTTCGTTGTATGACTTTTTATTTTTTCTTGAAGTAATTTCTTTTTATTTTATATATTTTTAAAGTGCATTTCTTTTTTAAGAGTGGTACTTAAATATAACATGGAAGGAAAACAACAATGCTTTGAATATTTCCTTTGAAAATGAGCTGTTTTGAGGGTTAAATTAAGGTCATTAAAAGCATAATGTGGCGCCCCAGGCTTACTGTAATTCATTTGAATGTTAGTCTCACAAATCTTTCCCAGCTGCCTGGGAAATTAGTGATTCATTGAGGTAGTTCATGGTTTTTGGCTTCTTTCCCTATATGTTTCTATGGTCATTAGAAAATTAATGATTACTTTTTCACATATTTATTATCAATAAAAATATTTCTCCCAAAGTAGTTCTCCACTTACACAGATCAGGTGTAGAATAGGACAGTGACCTGCCGCTGAAGCCCCCAGGCAGAGGGGCCACCCAGACCCCAGCCCCGAAACCTGCTGGGCCTCCTCCCGGTCTCTGGCTCACGCTCGTCCTCTGTGCGACCGCAGAGAGCTTTCCCGAACCCCATCTGACCTCGGTCCCCTGTTTCCCGGTCACCCCAGGGCTGGACCATGCATCTGAGCTGCTGTCCCTGCCCACAGCTGTCCCTCAGACCCTCACTGCTCCCCGACCAGCAAGGGCCTCTTCCTGCCTCTGTCCCTTCACTCAGTGTGGCCTCTCTCCCTCCAGCTTTCCTGGTGTCTCCTCCTGTGTGTGGATCCTGGCCTGTGGGGCCCTGACCCGGAGCTTGGGGCCCAGCCCGCGGCGTCCGGCATGTGTGTGTGTACCGGTCTTCTCCTGTCGGACGTGGGGAGGAGTGAGCTGCAAGCATGGAAGTCAGTGTCCTCGGCCCAAAGGCCTCTGAGCCCAGGCAACGCGTGTCTGTCTTTCTGAAGCAGCCCCTTCTCTCCGTTTCAGTGAAGCGCTATATCCGGAAGGGCGTTCCCCTCGAGCACCGGGCCCGCGTCTGGATGGGGGTGAGTGGAGCCCAGGCCCAGATGGACCGGAACCCCGGCTATTACCACCGACTCCTCCAGGGAGAGCGGAACGACAGGCTGGAGGAGGCCATCAGGACAGGTGAGCCGCCCGGGCAGCTCCCCGGAATTGTAATGCTGAAGAGGAAATGCACATTGTTCAAGAGGCACCTGCTGTTTTTAAGTTGAAATTTTATTTTTCTTAAAGGAAAACCAAAGCTTAAGCATTCATGAGGGGAGAACAGTGCTTTTAATTGCTTCAGCCGGCCAGGATGGACGTGGGTGAGGGAAGGACCAGGTTTCTTCCGTGGAGAACCCGAGGCGGGTGAGCAGGCTGCTGAGCCAGCGGTCAGGGCGCGGAGGGTAATCCCTGTGAGGGATTTGTGCTGATGACAGCGCCCTTGGGCTTACAGACACGGTGACCCGCATGTCCTGACGCTGCACACCACGGCTGCCCGCCTCGGCGTCAAACTCCCGTTGTCATTTGGGGTGCTGATGGATCCCCAGATTTTCTCAGTGGCCACATAGGCTCACCAGCTCGTAAATGTCCAAAGTGCCCAAACAAATATTTAACCTAAACTGAATAATTAGATTTTGAGGAAGTGTCTGCCTTTATGGTTTTGTTTTTGAGAAATACAAACTTAAACACAAAATACTTTATTTTTTTTTTAAAGATTTTATTTATTCATTTGAGATACATATATATATAGAGAGAGGGCATGAGGAGGGGGAGAGGCAGAAGGAGAGGGAGAAGCCGGCTCCCTCCCGAGCCAGGAGCCCGATGCGGGGCTCGATCCCAGGACCCTGGGATTATGACCTGAGCCGAAGGCAGACACTTAACCATCTGGGCCACCCAGGCGCCCCTATTTTTATTTTTTTAAAAAATTTAAAAAGATTTTATTTGAGAGAGAGAGCATGCACACATGAGTGGGGGGAGCCTCAGGGGCAGAGGGAGAAGCAGGATCCCCGCAGAGCAGAGAGCCCGACTTGGGGTTTGATCCCAGGACTCTGGGATCATGACCTGAGCTGAAGGCAGAGGCTTAACCAACTGAGCCACCCAGGCGCCCCACAAAATAATTCTTTAAAACCCAATTACTTGAATGTGCTGAGAGGTGGGGCTCCATGGTGGAGTGAGATTGAGGTGTGTCCCCAGCCTAAGGA